TAATGAAATCACTATGGTTCCTGGAAAAGTGGTTAATTTTGGACCTCGGTCTCCTGAAATCTGGTTAACCGAATGTCAAATATTTAGTTACCGGCCATCGTATGTCGGTTCTTCAAGAATCGGTTCTGTTGGTTTTATCTGTAATTTCTGTCAATTATTTTTTATTTCCCATTTGTGTTCCCCAAGTAACCGGAATTTTCAGTAACCATCTGTCAACCGATTCGGTAACTTTGGTTAACGTTTGGTTATATTTGGACCATAGGCTAAAATTGCGTCTGTCACTTTTAAAAGTGGACGGGTAGAATTTAGGTGATAGGTACAGTCGTGAGCATAAAGACCGAAACCCACTAGCAGCACGCCACCCCACCCCACGCCATGTGACTCAGGTTCACGTGGGACAGTTTGTATGCTAATAGACGGATGGCGTGGCGTGGTATCGCGTATGGCAAGTGTGTACGCAGCACATATAAATAAATGGAAGAATATACGCATACATTTTCGTCACATGGCGTGGCGTGGCGAAGCATGACGTGGCGTGTTGCTAGTAGGTTTCGGCCTTAAGGCTGGCCGTCCATTGGATGCGTAGTCGTACGACTTTTCGGTTGTACGTAGTCGTCCGTATAGACCGTAGACGTCCGACTCGAGGTCTGACTAATCCCCTTTAAAGGTAGCCTTTCGATGGTCGCGGCCAGTGCGACCGTTCCGATTGTGGCGACAATTCGGCTGGTCGTATGTGTACCGCTTTTATGTATTTACATAGGTCTCCTTTAAAACCATGCGACCGCGACAAGTGCGACAAGCAGTCGGGTCGCATTGTTCGTAGTGGCCGAATGCATTTAGCAGCAAGAATTCTCATTTATTATTGAAAATGGCTTCATTTTCCAGCGAGGATGATGAGAAATTGATGAAATATGTGACTAAAAATCCATCAAATGCATATCTAGATAATATTGTAAGACATAATATTTTTCTTTTTTTTTTTCAGTCACTGTGATGTAAAATTGAATCGTCATCATCTTCTTCTTCCTCTAGTAAACTTGCAATATCTCAACTTAGAATTCATTGTACTGGATACACCAAAAGTTAGAAATGTAAGAAAATAACTGATGACATAAGGAATCGTGTCGGTCGTGTCGTATACAAAGTCGCATCTGTCGAAAGGAGGCAAATAGATGCGACAGATCGCACTAGTCGCAAGTCGCAGCCGCATCAATCGCGGCCGCAATCTGCCGCAACCATCGAAAGGCTACCTGTAGCCTTTCGATGGTCGCGGCCCCTTTCGATGGTCGCGGCCAGTGCGACCGTTCCGATTGATGCGACAATGCGCCCAGTCGTATGTGTACCGCTTTTATGTATTTACATAGGTCTCCTTTAAAACCATGCGACCGCGACAAGTGCGACAGCGACGACCATTGCAACCAAGGCGGCCGCGACAAACCGCTCTACAAGCAGTCGGGTCGCATTGTTCGTAGTGGTCGCATGCATTTAGCAGCAAGAATTTTCATTTATTATTGAAAATGGCTTCATTTTCGAGCGAGGATGATGAGAATTTGATGGACTATGGGCGGAAAATCCATCAATTTATGACAATAGCGTCTCTGCATCTCGAGACAATATTATAAGAGATAATTTTTTTCTTTTTTTTTTAGTCACCAATACGTGATGTAAAATTGAATCGTCATTATCTTCTTTCTCCTCTAGTAGTTAAACTTGCAATATCTCAACTTATTAGAATTCATTGCACTGGATACACCGAAAGTTAGAAAACAATTGATGACATAAGGAATCGTGTTGGTCGTATCGTACACAAAGTCGCATCTGTCGAAAGGGTGGGTATAGATGCGACAGATCGCACTGGTCGCAAGTCGCAATTGGCCGCAACCATCGAAAGGCTACCTACATAAAAATGAATAGAACGCTCATCCACTCCACACGAATTCGGTCGCACGACTTGATCGGATTTCATATGACCAACGACTGGTCCCATTTGAATGGGATTTGTCGGACGTTTTCAAACAACTTTCGGTCAGTATTCGCAATTTAGCCAGTTCAGGTTTTCATTTCTTCACATATTGTGGATAATTATGGATTTTGAAAAGCTAATTTGCGAGGTGAGGGTGAGAGAAAGAAAAGCATTATGGGATATGAGACACAGCAGCAATCAGAACTAGTTTTCCAAAAAAAATATATCTTCAAAGTCCATTTTAATCAGTCTTATCTAAACACTACCAATACAAAGGCCGCACTGGAAGATACGCTACAAAATAAAGAAATGAACTATCTATTTTATTTACCAAACAGAAATCGTTTCTAATGGACGAGGTGTAGTCGTTCACATTCGTACGATCAAAGTCGTCCGATTATTCACGACCGCAAAGTTGTACGACTACGCATCCAATGGACGGCTAGCCCAAAAAGTGGGACACCCGACTCTACAATGGATTTTTTGTCAAACATGGCAATCCCTGTCGTTGCCGTAGGTATAGCTGATGAGCTCGTTTTACAATAGGAAAAAACGGGTGTCCCACTTTTTATGCTCACGATTGTAGGTAATTGAGGGCAGCTGGAGCGTGCGGTAATAAAATTACCGCACGCTCGCAGATGAAAATTTTTAAAGAATTATTAACTGGGGGCCCCTGCAATTTATTTGCACCGGGGTCCAACCTTGCTACGCCACTACAAGTAATGCAGCAATATCCGAAGAATGCATATGAACTTCCTCCTCAAATGAACATCTATATTGACGGCATAGAGTTGGAACAAGTAAGTCGCTTTAAGTATCTGGGCAGTATCATAACATGAGATGCAATGGTGGACGCTGATGCTGGTGAATACTCGAATTGCGCATTATTCAGATCATGATGTCAATCTCAGTGAGACATAGAAAAACCTCGCATCACAGAATATTGAATATTTAACGAAAAATACTCAAATTTTAAACTAAACACAAATCAATCTTATAGAAGTGATGTGATAATATAAATGATTAATTTGGCTTGAATGTCGTTAAATATTAAATCGAATACCTAGCTTAAATATAGATATAGATAATTAAAGAACCTACCTAATCTGGTTTCGCAGAAAACGATTGTTTCCATTAGAATCCCATAACGGGGAAGTCCGAGTTGGGTCCCAATTCTAACAGGTATATTTGATTATGGTCCGGTTGGGTCCGGCCTAGGGCCTAATTGGGTCCACAATAATATTCAAATAATTGAATAAAACTGAATTTTAACAGGACAGTGTTGCCGATTTAGGATAGTTTTCTGAATATCATGGTAGGTACCCCAAGTAATTAATTGGAGGTTCCAGAGGTTGGTATTACAGGTTTATTTCTTATTGTTATAAGGTTGGTACCCCATGGTTATTCAGTTCACTCGCTATCCAAATTCGTTTGTTGTTAATATTGAGTTGTTTAAAGTGTTGTTAGTGAGTAGATAAGTTAGAATAATGGAATGTAAACCCAACTTAACCCAATGTACGCTACTTTCAAGTGAGAAAGGAAAATCGCTGCTACTGATTAACGGGTACAAATTTTGCTTCCAAAAAGACTTGAAAGGTGGTGTAAAAAGGTGGATATGTACCATCGTCACCAAAAGTAACTGGGACAGCATCACATTAGCTCTTGTCCTATTATATGAATTTTATTGTCAAATTATTATGCATTATTCGTGTCCCAGATACTTTTGGTGACGATGGTACATGCAAAAAATCATTTTGCAAAGCCTGCGTGAAAACAACTGGGGAAAACTTCATAATCGAATCAACGTTGGAACATAATCATGAAAAACTACCAAATCATCTCTTAACTTAGAGAGCAGCTGTGGATAACCCTACGGAGAAACCCATGAAGCTGATACGTCAAGAATTATACAGGGTGTATATTTTAAGTGATACCACTATTGCTATATCCGAAACGGTAAAAGCTACAAGGTTGGTCAAATTAGAAAAAAGTCGTCTTTTTTGATGCCCATTTAAGATTCCTTTACAGTGTTGCCAAATTCCTTTCAGTTTCTGAAATACAGGTTCATAACTAGGTCCGAATTAAGGTAAAATTTTGGTAAAAATCACTGATGATCACTTTTTAGATCAGAAACGTCGACCAATAATACTTAAGAGGTATATCGTTGAAAAAAGAATAGAAGGTGCTTTCTTAAAATGTCATAAAAAATCCAGGTCCGTATTTAAAAAAATGAAGTTGATAATGGGAGCTTAACCACGAAACGTCGGATTCGAAATTTGAAGATGCCCTGTTGTAGAGCGAAAAAAATTATAAAACTTTCAAATTTAAATTGTGTCCCGAAAATAAATAGTTTTCGAAATATTTGATAGAATATTTTTGGGCGTTTTTTAGAAATCACCTTGTATGTCATAAACTAAAAGGAATTTGGCAACACTGTAAACGAGTCTTGAATGGACATCAAAAAAGGCAACTTTTTTCTAATTTAACCGACCTTGTAGCTTTGACCGTTTCGGATATAGCAATAGTGGTATCACTTAAAATATACACCCTGTATAAATCCGATTTATAGGTTATAAATAATTCAATAAAGTTGTAAATTTGTGTAGATATATTTTTTTTCAAATCCAACATAAACCCAAAATATTTTTTTGCGAATTTAGAAGTGCGGCAACAAGGCCACTTTTTCCCATTATTTTCCTAGAATCTAAGATATCTTCTTCGGTCCCAATTCGGCCCACACCTTTTTAAAGGCAGGTAAGTGGATAAGGTTTGGGACCCAACTCGGATGCGTCCCCCATAACTGATCCAGATGTAGTTGATCGCCTCTGGAATAACCACATGGAATCAAGCTCTAGGTCAGAAAAATTGCAGAAAGCTGACTATTTTCACCCTCTCAGAATCACTTAAATTGTCTAAACATTACTTAAAAAAGGTTCAATGAAGAAGATGTGCTGTTGAATAAATTTCTTCTGTTTCCGATGGATGTTACTTCTGGTTTGAGTCCGGAAAAAGGGAAGGAGAAAAAAAAAACATCCAATTCATATAAAATCAATTTCTAATTTATTCCATGCGAATCTTTCAAGCACAACAAAAAGGCACAAATATCTATACATTCGATTCCTTCAATATTGTTATTCAAAAAATTCAAATGGCTTGAAGAATAATCGATATAGTGTTTCTTAAAAGTAACCAACATATTAGCTAAATAATCACATTTCCATTTATTTTTATTAATGTTAAATCGTCGCAATAAACTCAAACTGGAAACCATCGAAAAGTGTCCGATCGATTTCAAATTGTTAAATTCCAAACTTAAATATTTCAAAGATTTCAATGGTAGAAAGGATTCGAATAGTAACGTGGAAATGCTGTTCTTTTGAAGGTCCAGCGTTTCCAAAGATAGAAAATTCGAAAATATGCCCACTTTGAATTCGGTCAAATTATTTTCGGCTAATGAAAGTTCTTGAAGAAAAGGAAAATTTTGAAGTGCACCAAGTTCAATATCAGTAATCGCATTTGAGTTTAAATTTAACTCACGCAGATTTTTCAAGCCATTAAAATAGCCATATTTTAATGTGACCAAAGTATTATTACTTAAGTCTAACTTATATAAGCTATCTAATCCACAAAAAGTACATTTAGGAATTTTTTCAATTTTATTATTACTTAAATCTAATACACTTAAGTTTTTTAAGCCACAAAAAGTACACATTTGAATTTTTTTTATTTGATTATTACTTAAATCCAATTCATATAAACGTTTCAAACCTTCGAATGCATGGGGCACTACATTTTCCAATTGCATATTAGAAAGATTAAAGCTTCTTATACTATAAAAATTCCTGAACATATTTCCAATCAATATATGTCTACCTTCAAGCACATGTTTTAAATCAACATTATTAGCTGCAAACAAACCATCTAAAGCACCAAAATTTAAAGATTGAATTTTCGTATTTTCAAATTCAAGATTTCGTAAATTGAATAAACCTTGAAAAGCTTTTTCGTTTATTGAATTTATTTCGGAATTTGAAAATTTCAATGTTTCCAAAAACATTAAATTCTCAAACGATTTAGTTTCAATCGTGCCCCTAAATGTTATGTATAGTTCTTTCAATTTTATATTACTCGAATATTTATTTGAAAAGTTTAATGTTGTTATATTATTATCCCTTATATCTAAAATTGCTAATTTTGGAACGTTAGAAAAAATATCCGAAGTTATTTCATGAATATTAGAATGTTTCAAATAAACTTCCCTTAATAAGGGCAAATTTGAAAAAGCCTCAATTTCAATTGACAATTTTTCGTTGTTATAATTCATATTTATAATTTGAATATTGCTTAAATTATAAAAAGCATTTGGTTGAATAGATCCAATCCTGTTTTCATTGATATTAAGCGAATTTAGGGGCAAAAAACTGAAAACGTACTCATCAATAATAGTTAATTGGTTATTGTTTAAACTAATTTCTTCAATTGCTTTAAGTGGTTTGAAAATGTTTGCATTTAAATATTGTATTGAATTATTATTTAAATTCAAATATGTAAGACTACTTAAGTTCATAAATGCTAGATCTTCAATTTGTGATATATTACTTGATGATAAATTTAGAGTTGTTAATCCTAGACAATTGGCAAAACTATAATTATTTAATTTGAGATTATTAAATGACAAATCCAACCATTCTAAACTAGCAAAACCAAACGAGCTTAATTCTGAAATTTTATTTGAGCTCAAATTTAATTTTGAAATAAGTGCATTCTCAAAAACTAAATTTACATCATCAATTTGATTAAAAGAAAGATCCACAGTTTCTATACTGCATTCTGCAAAAGTAGATTCATTTATTGTTTTGAGATTATTATAACTAAAATTCACACTATTCGTATATGAATGATGTAAATTGAAGTTATTTATAGTCGTTAAAGAACAATTTGAAAAATCGCCGGATCTATAATAATTTGAGAAACTTGTTATGTTTTCTGTTAAGTGTTCGATTTCGTTATCAGCCAAAATTAATTTCTCGAATGCAAAATTAAGTTTATTTGTGAAAAATATGTTCAGGTTAGGTTTGCTAGATTGATGAGATAAATCCAATAATCTCAGATTAATTTCAATATAACCTGATTTATTGAACTTTATTGTATTTATATCATTATAACCTAAATTAACTTGCAATGAGTCCAAAATTATTACAAAGTTATATTGTATTTTATGAATATAATTATTATTTAAATACAAACATTTGCTAATGGGAAAATATGGAGCATTAAAATATGTCCGAGATGTTATAGATAGGTATGTAATTTCGTTAAATGATAAATCTAAACAATCTATAATATGCGAAAACAAGTCAAAATCAATATTTTTAATTCTATTGTTAGTCAAATTCAAATACATTAAAGATGCAGGCAAATTTGAAATGAAACTAATATCTTCAATAGAATTGAAACCCAAATTTAAATTAATCAATTTATCAAAATCGTTAAACGCTTCTGGTTTTATAAATTTTATTTTGGAAGATTTAACAGCCAGTTGTTTAATGTCTTTTTCAAGATTATATCTGAGTATTATTGGTATGGGATTCAATAGGTATTCAATATGAGAAAAATTTGAATTTATTATAGTTAACTGTTGCAGCTTTGGAATTGGGAAGTCTCTTTTTTGTTCATCTGATACCAATAAGTCATTGAGATCCTGGATGTAGTTATCGATGGACGTATTGTAGCATTCTAGATTTCGAACTTCTTCATGGTTAATAATAATATAGGGTCCTCGAATATAGCATTCAGCGTAAATAATAGGTAGTATCGAGGATAGAAAAATGGTGATTGTAATTATCTGAAATATTTAAAATGACTTGAATCTATACGTTATATGATGGTTGTGTATGTTAGTATATAGTGCAATATTTTAACCTTTTTGTTCATTAGATCCGCAGTTTTTGTTAAATGAATAACACTTAAACCCTAAAGAAACTAACACTATTACAACGGTTTGTTTAACTACAATTAAGCTCGCTCAACAAGAATCACAACTCAGACTCTTATTATCGATTCGCGTTTCAGTAATTATCCGATTATTACTTTATTCGCGTTCAACATACTGATTCTTAACACATCACAAGGTATAATGAATACTGTTTATTGAGTCTCATTTTCATTGGAGATCAGCTACCTGAACTAGAAGTACGGCTCCATCTTCATCAGGTGATGGTCGACCAAACATAAGATCTACACGTTAAGCTTCATGTCTCTTCTAGTTAACAGATGGTACAAACAAGTAAAATGAAGACAGGGTCTCCATCTATTTTCTGGTCGGCACACTAAAAATTGCTACTAACAACCGTATAAACCAGTATTAAATTAGAGCAAATCGACTAAAATAGATGGAGACCCTGTCTTCATTTTACTTGTATTAAACCCAGTTCCGGGATGGAACCAAAAATGGGTTGTGTTTTCTCTCTGCGGGACCTAAACCGTGCTGATGAGCTGTGATACAGCGAAACGCGTCCACGGATGGTCTTGCAGAGATAAAACACTTCTCAATCGGTCCTTAATTGGGCCGTTACCTAATTAAGATGGTACAAAGCTGATTGATTTTTCTAATAGCGAAAAGGGGCACCAGGAAATATCCGTTTCGCCGGTGTTCACCACAAACATCCAGAGACATTATTTATTGATGGTTCGATTGTGCTTCTCTACCATTTCGACGGAGTTGTTCTCGTTTTCCTCTTTCCCAGTACCTCATTGTACTGTTTCCATACTTCGGACTCAAAATTCCTCCCCCGATTTGTAAGAAGTTTTATTGGTACTCGTGTTTGGCAATTATGTTTTTGAGAGTACCTACCTAATACTTAGGTAACTTAGGCAACAGTAGCCGCTGGGAATATTGCAACTACCATTACTTTGAAAAATAGTCCAAGTCCATAGTAGACGTAGCAAGTACCCCCACTGATAATACTTATTTTTCCGAACGAAAAAAAGTAATTAAAAATAAATAATGATGATTGTTTAAACTCTAATATTTATGTAACAACTAGCTGACCCGGCGAACTTCGTACCGCCTCCGAATTATTAAATACCTAATCGATCTGATCTAGGTCAATCAAATTCGGCTTATATAGAGATACGTGGTATTAAATCCAAGATCGGTCCAGCCATTCTCGAATTCAAGAAATAATAAAGTTACGTTGGTTGAATGCGCAAACCTAAATAAATGAAATGTGGCAACGTTGTTTCATGTCGTCAAAAAAAACGTGGGTTATGTTGTCATGTAATGTGAATGAGTTTGCTTATAATTAAATTAATAATTAATTCAAAATTAATTACTTTTTCCGAGATGCGTAACCTATCCACAAACCTTCCTTGAATTGGCCATAACAACCTACCAAAGTTTCATCGTAATCGGATAAGTGTAGGAGCGCATAAGGCGGAAACATACAAACATTGATTTTTATGTATACAGTGAGGGGCAGGCTACTAGGTATATAGGATGTAACCTGACGAATTTGCAGGCGTCCGCATGCCGCAAAATGACATCTATTTAGCGCTAACTGGTGACAACCAGGTAGACACAACCAAGGAGAAGGACCTATCGCTCAAAAATCAATGCTTCAAAAGCATTCATTACACCAGAGCTGCTTTCGGGTGACATCCTTTGAGCGCTCCCGAGTTACTCCGGCTACAGTTTGACCCGTTCGGTTTCAAGCGTTCGAGTGCAAAACGCATGGAGTATGACAGGTCACTGACAGGTGTAAAATGCTCTAGGAGCACCCGAAAGCGGCTCAAGTCACAGAAAGGAGTTAGGCCAGATTTTCATGCATCCGTTTTCCGACGAAATATGTCCGAAGGAGAAAATTATCCGATAGATTTTTTTCTGCATTGCCACTACTAGGGTTGCTAACAATTTTCAAAAATACGGGTGTGTTACTCCCCGAAACCATAACGTCCAGGAAAATAATTAGAAGCAAGAAGCAAAAGAAATTATGTTGTTGGAATTAGTCATTTAACGAAACTCCAACTAAATCGACTCGTGCGCTTGCGCACGAGATTGACTCAAGTATAAGGACGGCGAGTAGGCTACTGAAAAAAAAATAAGTATCATTCATACCAAGTACGAAACTCCCAAAAAATTGATCCTGAGGACAACTTCAGGCGAATAGAGTTTTGTGAAACTGTTATGAATAAGACAAATGAAAATGAAGATTTCCCTAGAAAAATTATCTTTACAGATGAATCAACATTTCAACTCTATGGTTGACAGAATCCTAGTCCCAGCCGTTATTGGTCTAAAGAAAATTTAGATAGGTATTTTGAGCTTAGAACCCAGCGTCCTCAGAAGGTAATTGTATGGGGAACATGTTATTGGGCCGTGATTCATTGATAGTAACTTGCTTGGTCCAAAATATATGTATCTTTTGCAACGGCAAACAGAAATTACAAGATAAGCTGGTCCTAGATTTAAAGGAACATGATTTGAACAAGAAGGTTGTCCAACCCATAATACGGGTTTCATTCTGGAGTATTTAAGTAATAATTTTCCAAGCCGTCTTATTGTTGCGTCAAGATCTGTAGCCAACCCGCTGTCCTGATCTTACACCTAACGATCTCGGTGGTTATGGCAAGACAAAAATTTATGTTTTGAACCTGAAGAAGCTGGTTTTCAAAATTCGAGTGATCTATCTATCACTCTTGTGATGCTAAATAAGGTTAGTAGAGCATTCTATGATCGTAGGTCATTGTTTAGCTCAAGAACGAGGACTATTTGAACATTTGCTTCACTAAATTATACGCTTGGAATGTTTTCTTTCCTAAGAACGGAAAAAATACTATCATATTAGACTTTGCTATGATGATTGTTTTCGGTTCGAAAAAAAATCTATTGATAACAAAGGCTCAGCTATCTACACCGTCCAGACGCTACGTTTTGTATAACGTTTTATCTGCACAGTTCAACACGTTGCAGACTAAACGTTGTGATCAGTAGTCTGTAACGTAGCGTCTGGACCGGGCTTAAGTCTGTATCATAGAACGTACTGAAGTCAGTGGCGGCCAGTGGCAACCTAGTGTGGTTGTGCGCTCTTGGAAAATTTTTTGGAGGTGCCACGTCCTGTTTTACATTTATTTTGTATGTTGATTTTTTTCTTTTTACTTTTGTAAGAAAACACAAGAAAAGGCCCGTTTATAACTTTATTAGCTTTGCCTTTCAGCAGTCGCTTAAAAACTAAACTCTCACATTTTGTCAAAACCAAAGACCCTTTCATATTTTATTACGGGCGTAGCCAGTACTTTTCCTTTCGATACAAGAATTTAGATGCAAACCAAAAGTGGTGTGAAAATATAAAAACTCTTATTGATAACTTATACCAACACTTAATGCTAAAATAATTACACATACGAAAATATAAGGGAACAATGGTTTTACAATTAATAATTACAACACTTTAGGAAAAATTATCGAAAACAAAAATATATGTATTTAAATGAGGCTTGAATGTTTGTATTCTAGCCATAATACATAATTGATATTGAAATTTATAATTAAAAAAAAAAACCGCGAACAACAGAGTTGTCAAACCGCCAAAATGGTGAAAAAACATCGAAATATTCTCGATTGAGTGGAAACAACATTGGAAGTGTGTATTCAAATAGCGCACGGCGCATCCCTTTCATCGGGCGACTTACCGTATATTCCCGATCAATCGCACAGCGAGAAAACACATCTACCCAGAGCGCCGAACGATTCCACACCGACCACCCGGACCACCAGCACAACCAAGCGGGAGAAAAAAATATACAAGACAGGCGCAGGGCGCGCTTTCGTTCCGTTCGTGCGAATTTAAAAATAGAAAAATGAGTAGATATTTATCCTAATTTAGAAAATTGGGTAGGTATTTTTTAATTGAAGTTTCTTTTCTTTCCAAAATTTTAATTTAATTTTCTTGCTTGATTTTTGGAGGCAGTGCGCGCGCACGAGCGCACTTATTGAGAAGCCGCCCCTGACTGAAGTGAACAAACTCAACGAATGTCAAAGTCATCAAACGAACGACAGCGACAGGTTTTCAAACGGCTGCGGACGATCGTAAATTCGTCAAGCTGGATCCTATATACCTAGTCGCTTGCCCCTTACTGTATATAGATAATAAATAGATAATTATCATTTTATAAGCTTGGTCTACATAGAAAATACTGGAATGCATGCATTTTATTTAGGTATCTAAGGTATCCCTCTTTTTTCCATCCTAATCCAAACAGAAATGTTATTGTATAGTATCTAGCTTTGATACTGATACTGCCGACTTTGCCGAATGTTTGAAACTATTTACTTTACTGAATACTGTTGATATATTATATGAAAAAATTAACTATGCAACTTTTATAAATTTTGTTAACCTAGTAACTAGCATTGGCGGCTCGTCAGGGAAGGCAGTGCCTCCTTTGACCTGAAAGATTTTCCAAATGTTTTTTTGAAGGCTTAAAATAAACGTTTTTGGGCTTGGAACCCGAAAAAAAATTCTAAGTGACAAAACCTAGGTAGGAAGGGGGCGGCAAATATTGAGTTGCACACGGGCGGCCAACACCTTAGCGGCGGCCCTGAAAAAAGGACCGACAATATCTATTTACTGCCATTCTCTCCAGTGGCGCACCCAAGGGGGGGTTTGGGGGGTTAAAACCCCCCGAAATTTAGCACTGGTACAAATAATTTTCCGGTGAAAATATTTTTTTTGCGATTTCGGTTAATAGGTACACTTGGCCAAACATAAAACTGGTACAGGCAATACAGGGTGAATCTGAAAGTGAGGTTTTTTTTTAACAGGGTATAATATCTCGCCAAAATAA